TTCAGATAATGTTGCTACTATGTCACATGAAGAACGATCTGATGGTGGTTTTCCAAACTCTGTGATAGCTGAATTTTCTGAAGAACCAGTCTCTGAGAACTTATCTCCCAATACTACTTCCTCATTGGAAGACCAGGGTGAGGAGGGGGTATCTGAGCCCCAGGAAACATCTACTGCTCTTCCTCAGAGTTCTTTGATAGAGGTTGAACTTGAAGATGTGCCATTTTCACAGAATGCAGGACAGAAGAACCAGTCAGAGGAGCAGTCTGAAGCATCTTCTGAGCAACTGGATCAGTTTACACAATCGGCAGAAAAAGCTGTTGATAGCAGCTCAGAGGAAATAGAAGTGGAAGTGCCTGTGGTAGACAGGCGGAATTTAAGAAGAAAGGCCAAAGGGCATAAAGGACCTGCTAAGAAGAAAGCTAAGCTGACCTGAAGGAAGAAGAAAAGTGGATGATAAACCCTCTTCTTTGTAACATAATTGTTTTTAAAATATGGTAATTAATAAACAGCATGGGGCACAGGACAAAAATTTCCAAAATTTCAATTTGAACTTATTTACTATGCAGTTTTTCGTTCCCTTTAGAACATAGAATTCACCATTCTTTTTAATTATTCAGGCTATTTTTGGTAAATGCAATTTTTTATTTTTATTAACCATGTTTCAATTTTGGAAACCAGATCATATTATATTTTCTTTATCAGGTGGTACATCTGACCATTATTTCAAAAATATAATTAAAAAACTGAAAGTAGTAGGATTTCCATTACTTACAAGGATCACAGAAATCTTTTATACTAAGGGTTTTAATAGTAAAACTTGGTGAGGGTTCTAGAAGTTTTAAATTTCAAAACCAATCACCAATTTTTTAAAATGTAGGCATACCTAAACAAAAGTGTCAATAAATTAGAATAAATATAACTTCAAGTAAACGAGAGCACAAAAACAGAAACAAACTTACGGTCAAATGTTCATGAAGATATTTTGGTTTTGGCCTCTTAATCCTAGATATAATGCGTTTTTTTCCTTTGACTTCACTATGGAAAGGTACACATAAAATCTGTTTCTGATTCATTCTATCATCTGATGTTAACAGTACTGTCAGGGATTTAACTGTGGCATGTAGGGACTAATTATTTAAAATTTCATTTGAAGTATTAGTTTGCTATAATTCTTTGTCTGCATATGTGCAGATGCCTAGAAGTTTAGACTTCACTTTCACCTTTAATCAGGTAAAAATCACAACTACAATTTAGAGACATAGTTTAATTTGGACTTCTGGTCCTGATCAGACAGATAAATTAAGCTGGAGATTTTACTTTTATCCCAACCCAGTTAACATCTATATTTGAGAAGTGTGAGGCTGCTTCCTAAGGCATCTCCTTAAATCTTGCCACCTCCCTAATTCTACTACAGTCTTATTTCTATTCCCCCACAGCTTTCATCACTTCTCTAACTCATGGAGTGATTCTCCAATCAACAGATCCTCCTGCCTGCCGGCTTATGCCCTTGATGTCCATTTTTGGGTAGGTTTGGAGGTGCACTCCACAATGTTAGACCTATATGGCATGGGTAAAACTGCCTTGGGGAACTATGGTTACAAGGGCTTCAATCAAATTGGAAGAGGCTTCAGTCATCCTTTGATTTGTACTGTGAGTACTGGTTGCAAGCTGGCCTGTTAAGTGTATATTGTGTTGCCATAGCAAAGGCCTAGGAAAATTTGAAGAAAAAAACCCTGAACTGTTAATTTTTGTAATTTATTTAAAAATGAACAAAATGGTTATTAGAATCCAAAGAAAATCTAAAAACAATTCTACTCTTTGGAAATATTATGTGTACTCAAGTTTGCACTTAAGTTGGAGAATGTTTTGAGACCATTTAGATTGTTTTAAAAATAGCTTGATCTTGATCCTTACGCAAAAGAAACATTACGATTTGTATCATTATTTGAGATAGCTAAGGATTGATGTTGAAAGTTTATTCAGTCTATAGGAAAGCTGATGTCATGTCAATAAATTTTGTTTGGGGATGTTGGTATTTTCGATCTAATTAGTTAAAATCTTTTAGCAGACAATAGTAAACCCTCTTATTTGTGTTAGATTTTGAACACCTGTATTATCCTATATTTTCTTTAATTATTAGTCAGAGGTAAGCCAGATTATGTCATACTAAATGAAAATTAAAGTGCTTTGGCCATTTATTTTCTCAACAAATCTAATACTAAGTTAAAAAAAAAAGTATGACTACTATTAGTTAATCTACCATTTATGCTGTTTTATACATTTTATGAGAAACTTGTCAACATCACAAAGGGAAATACTCTGTTAAGATTCAGTAAATGCTTAACCTTTACATTTTTCAGTTCTTAGATTTGAAAACAACACTTTTAGATATTTTATTTTTACTTGGGTTTGTTTAAACTACTTTCTTTTTAAATTATTTTAAACATGGAACGCTTCATGAATTTGTGTGTCATCCTTGCACAGGGGCCATGCTAATTTTCCCTGTATTCCAATTTTAGTATATGTGCTGCTGAAGTGAGCACTAAAAGACTTTCTTTAGGCAAGTGTAGTTTTTTAAAGATTGAGCTCACTGGCTCAACTCCTGATGTGTGAATATAGTTGAGTTTACAAAAAATGTTTAATCATATATGACCACTGGGGGCTAACAGTATAAACTTATTCTTGTTAAACTTGTTTGGGTTAAATAGTAAGTGAATTCTAAGCAATTTCTAAGGTTTTTGTTTAGCACACAAGAACACTTCTGTTACAGATGATCTCTGACATAAAATGTTATTTTGGGATTTATAGATTATAAAAGGAAAAATTAGATCACTTGGAAAAACCTAACTCATGTTCAGTAACTTGAGTATAGAATTTATACCACAGTTTATCTTCAATAAGGAACCTACATGAACTTAATCAGTTATCTGTAGTTTTTGCAAGGCATTAGAAAAAATTTCACAATTACAGGGGACTGAAAATGTGATTTCAACCAGCTAGTTGTTGAATGTCCAGTCACATTACACATAGTCCTTTGTGAACTTGTTTGTGAAGGAAGTTCACTTTTTGTGTACATACGTGTATATTTCCTTGTGTAATATAAAGCAGATGGTTATTAGCAGTATTTTAGTTCTTTCAAGTTATAAATTATTCAATTGCTAGACATCACAGAAATTAGTATATTTAAGAATTTATTATAAAGCTCCTCTACAACTTTTAAAGGTGAGAGGGTCTATTATGATTTTTTATAAAATCAAACAGCATGATTTAGAACGTCGGTCTTCTACTTAAAATGTGTCTATATTCATGGTATTTCCATTCAGTGTAGATGGTAAGGAAAACATCTAGTCATTAAAGATTTACTTTTAGCAGACTCCAGAACACTACTTACAATGGGGTTTCAGTGACTAGAAATCTTGAAGGTTTATGATTGCATCAAATTGAGCCTGTACTAATATCTAAATATCTGCTCTTATGTTCTGCTTTATCCCTTGGGATTACCTTCTAAGGTTTGGTCACACCAGCAAACTGAAACAGATCTTAATGTAAATAAAGAATTTATACTAGTATTACTCATCTGTGTTACAGTATTTTGGAAAACGTTTCAGGTGTCATCTAGTCTTTCATGGGTGTGTTTAGTTACAAGTGTTATGCTTATGTTTTCATACTTAATATCAAGCTTTCTTTGTATCTTACAAGATAGTAATTTTGGTTCTAAAAAAACAAGCAAACTTCATTTTTGTAGTATCCAGAAATTACCTGGAGTCAATATTTTTATTCGCCTTGTAGAACTTGTGATCCACACATCACCCATTTATATTAGTGGCAAAATTATCTGCTAAAATCTAACTGTAAGAAAGGCTTACCTTCTGTCATCAAGTGATTGTATCATCCTGGATTGCCATTTCCAAGGAACTAGCCTTTCTTTTCCTAAGTGTCTGTATGTGTTCTAAAACTTCTAGTATATTTATAGAACTTAGAAAAAAATGTTACATTATTCAGAGTAGCAAGTCTTACTGGAATATTTATATTTGTTTTCCTTTTTTTTTTTTTTAAGTTTAAAAGTAGTAATTAAACCTATATTTTGTGATTGTTTCCTGGTGTTTTGAAATTCTTTTCCTTCTGTTTTCCTCATGAAGATGTTTCAGATACTGAACTTGTTTAGACATTGAATGACTTTGTTAAAGGCACAATTAATCACATTGGTTGTACTCTGAAGACAGACTTCTTAAAAAAAAAAATAAACAATTTAAAACAATGTGGTGATTATAGATTAATGTAATATACTGCCACCCTTAAAGCCACAACATATAACAGATCACAAAAGTGCTTTCACCAAGTTACAACCCTAAAACCTTACCTTCTTACATCATCTAAGTAACTGCAAATAAATTTCTCCTCGGGGAATCAGTGCAGTCTTCTTTTTCCTTTTAAAACTTAGCTGGAGTTACTTAAACTAATTCTTAATACCATTCTGAAAATATAAATATACTGTTTAGAATACAGAAAATGCTAAGAAAATACAAATACTTTAGTATTTTTTTTTCATTTTCATGAAATTCAAGTAGAAAATAGTGCCAAGTACATATTATTACACATGGTAAATGAAATGAAAATGTTTAGAATGTAATTCACTAGACCTTTTGCTGTACTGGATTTCACAAGTGAAAAGATTTCTCTAAGAGTTTTGAACTTTTAGTGTCTTCTCACATACTTTTAGTGTAAACACTGTAACTTAACATCTGTATTAATGCTACCTTTTTTAGGATTAATGATTAATGAGGTAGAAGATACTTCAGTTAAATTCTCAGACACATAATTGTGTATTAACCTTTCTGAAAGGCATTTTCAACGAACACTGTGGTGTTTTCAGGAAATGACCGAATACCCACGCACAAATGCAGATATTGATGAGGTAGGGTATTTGTATATTTGCTTTTTTTCAATCATTCAATTTTATGAACATGGGGTCTAGGCAGACTTCAAAATAAAGACCATTTATAAAACAGGACCATTTTAATGTTTACAATTTAATAAATCTCTTCATTGCAGACAGGTATGGCTGTTTGGTAGTATTCAGAAATATCACAGTAATGGCAGTTTTCTCAATTGGTGTGTAGTCCTCGATAATTATATATGAAATTGCTGTCAAACCAGTAAGACTGCATTTATACATCCATCATTTTCAGGATTGTTGGTAACCTGGGCATATTTTCCTAAGGAAAACAAAACCAAAAAAGGGAAAAGGGAGGGTTGTTACCTAATAAAAATTAATTTTAAAGAATATAACTTTTGCCCTTTTTTTTTTCCCCGTCTTAATACAGGGTTTCACTCTTATTCCCCAGGTTGCAGTGCGGTGGTGTGATCTCAGCTCACTGCAACCTTTGCCTCCTGGGCTCAAGCGATTCTCCTGACTCAGCCTTCTGAGTAGCTGGGACCACAGGCACACGCTACTGCCTGGCTAATTTTTTTGTTTTTGTATTTTGTAGAGATGGGGTTTTGCCATGTTGCCCAGGCTGGTCGTGAACTCCTGAGCTCAAATGATCTGCCTGCCTTGGCCTCCCAAAGTGCTGTGATTATAGGCATGAGCCACTGTGCCCAACCATGCCTAAAATATTACTAATTACCACTTTTAATAAGTAAGAAATGAACCGTAAAGGATAAATGAGATTTTACAAAATTCAATCATTTAAGAACTTGAGTTCTGAATACAATTTTCATATAAATAGTGTTTTTGCAAATAATGGTCAGCTCCATGTTATTAGTACATTGCATTAACAGGCTTTTGTGGATTGACCTGAGCATTGTCACTTTTTCACATAATTATTCCCGCAAATTGTATCAAGTTTTAAATGAGTTTCAAGTCAAGGTAACAACGTATCTTAAAACTGAGGTCAGCTGACATGAAGTATAAGCCAATCACTGAAGAAGTTGTAGTGTGTATTCTTCCCTTTCAAAGAAGTTGGATCTGGTAGTTGGATCTGGTACTAAAGGTAGAAAACTAAGCAAATGAGGGCGTTTAAAATTAGTGCATGACACGTTTCTGTTTTATTACTGATCTACTGTGATTACACGTTTGTTGTATGCCTCCCTTCCTCTGCTCATGGTTAACTTATTCTATTTTTTTACAATTTTTTTTTTTAGTTACAACTTCGAAGGCATCTGCTTCCCTTGTAATAACTTTTATTAAAAAGGATCAAAATATCTTAATTTTACTTATTTTTGAGACGGAGGCTTGCTCTGTCTCCCAGGCTGGAGTGCAGTGGCATGGTCTCAACTCACTGCAAGCTCCAGGTTCAAGTGATTCTCCCGCCTCAGCCTCCCGAGTAGCCGGGATTACAGGCACTCACAACCATGCCTGGCTAATTCTTTTGTATTTTTAGTAGAGGCAGGGTTTTGTCATGTTGACCAGGCTGGTCTCCAACTCCAGTCTCAAGTGAACTGCCTGCCTTGGACTCCCCAAGTGCTGGGATTACAGGTGTCAGCCACTGCGCCCGGATAGCAAGGGGGCTTTTTAAAGCCTGGAAGCTTCTACATGATTTCTGGGAGGTCAGGAGAATCCCATTAACAGAATGAACTAAACTGTGTTAAATCAGTTTCAATTATTATTATTATTGCTTTTTGAGACAGAGTCTTGCTCTGTCATCCAGGCTGGAGTGCAATGGCACGACTGCAGCTCACTGCAACCTCGGCCTCCCAGGTTCAAGCAATTCTCCTGCCTCAGCCACCCAAGCAGCTGGGATTACAGGCATGGGCCACCACACCTGGCTAATTTTTGTATTTTTAGTAGAGATGGGGTTTCACCATGCTGGCCAGGCTGGTCTTGAACTCCTGGCCGCAGATGATCTGTCTGCTTCAGCCTCCCAAAGTGCTGGGATTACAGGCTGAACCACCACTCCTGGCAGTTTCAATTAGTTATCAGTTTACCTGCGTGGGACAGATAGTTCTATTTCTTTAAATTTAATAGGTATTTTCTCTTAATGTTAGCATGTAAATGTAAGAAGTATTTCCATAATATTTGTAAACTTATGGCAAAAGAAATTTTTTCTTACAGAAAACATCTTAAGTCATTGGCTAATACTTCATGTCAGCTGACCTCGCTTTTAAAATATGTTTGATATATGCCTCCCTTCCTCTGCTCATGGTTAATTCATTCTATTTTCTTAAAATATTTCTTAGTTATAACTTTGCATCTGCTTCCCTTATAATAAATAATTTTTATTAAAAAGGTTAAAAAAAATTTTTTTTTGAGATGGAGTCTTGCTCTATTTCCCAGTCTGGAGTGCAGTGGCACAATCTCAGCTCATTACAAACTCCGCCTCCTGAGTTCAAGTGATTCTCCTGCCTCAGCCTCCCAATGGCGGAGATTACAGGTGCTCGCCATCACACCCGGCCAATTTTTTTGTATTTTTAGTAGAGACGGGTTTTGCCATGTTGTCCAGGCTGGTTTCAAACTCCTGACCTTAGGTGATCCACCCCCTTCAGCCTCCCAAAGTGCTGGGATTACAGGCGTGAGCTGTTGCGCCTGGCCAAAAAGGATCAAAATAAATCTAACAGAATGTATTACACCTTATGTAACTAAAACCAGTAAGCTAAATTTTAAAACAATTGTATTTACTACTTTTTCTATAAAGTATTTTTTACTAAAGATTTACATCTGATTTACATTGTTTTAACTTAGCTCTACTGCATTAAAAAATTTTGCTGTGTATTTTAATACATCAACTTGAAGAGTATTTCTATTAGTACTGCAGAACAGCAACAGCCCTATATTCAAAAATTCACTTACCCCAAATAACTTTGCCTCCTTGCGTCACAAGGCCCAATTCGCTCACATTTACCTCAATGACAGTACCTTTGGTAATAACACCCAAAGTTGTATACAGTGGGGATGAGGGATTCTTCTTTACGCCAAGTATCGGTAGGCAAAAGGTGGCTTTCAGTTCAGGATGTGTTACATGGGCTTTCTTGAAACGCAAGCCCTAGTAAGTCAAACAACATAAGAATGTTCACGTCCAAAATGTTAACAGTGATGAGTAGTGTTGTTTTTGCTTATCTTTTTCAACCATCTCCAAAAAGCTATGGTTGCATAATGTCATCTTAAAGCAGCTAACAAAATACGTTCTACAGAGTAAAAACCTGATGGTTACAGTATAAATATGTGGGGCAAACACCCACACATATACTTAAGAATTTTTTTCTTTTCTTTTTTTTGAGACAGGGTCTTGCCCAGTTGCCCAGGCCAGAGTGCAGTGGCATGACTTGGCTCGCTGCATCCTGGGCTTCTTGGGCTCAAGACATCCTCCCACCTCAGGCTCCTGAGTAGCTGGGACTAGAGGCACGCACCACTATGCCTAGCTAATTTTTCCTTTTTTTTTTTTGTAGAGATGGGGTTTCGCCATGTTGCCTGCTGGTCTTGAACTCCTGGGCTCTCAACCTATCCACCCACCTCAGCCTCCCGAAGTGCTGGGATTCCAGGCCACCACAGCTAGCCTCCGAAAAGTTTTTTTTTTGCCCTGAAACAGCTACCTAGCAACATCCTCAGATTTTTACTGTCTAGTCATCGACAGTTAGACTTACTAAGGACTTGATATATACCAGGCCACTATGCTAGCTCACAACTGGCTCACTTAAACACAATAACCTCACAACAAACACATCCCTCTCTCTCCTGTTTTTGAATGATGTAACAAGGAGCAGCAGGTTAAATGACTTGTTTCCAGATTAAATGGTGAGTGGTAAACAGAATCAAACCTAAATATCGTGATTCCAAGTCTTTATATACTTCAGCTACCTTCCATGATGAAAAAAGGAGTGGATTGTTAGCTTTCTTTAGGTTGATAGTAATATGAGACTGGAGAAGGCCCAGAGAGGTCTTTGTTACAGAAACTGGTTATGGAATCACCCAGTCACCTAATAGGGTCTTTTAGGGTGTAGTACTTCAAACATCACAACATTTTGCAGTCTTGATTTCTGCGTGCATGGGGATGGGGAGAAAACAACACTAAATCAGTTTCTTAGTAACAGATTCATTAATGAAGCTCTTAAGAAACTGACACCATTCAGGATGCCATCTGATTAATTCACAATGACAAATCTGTGAAACTACAGAAAACCTAGAGTAGCCTGACTTGTATATTCTCTCCCTGTAGAACTGGTAAGGCTACCAAAATATATTCAGAATATGAATATGAAACCAAAACAAGTCGATTCCATGATATAATCCAGAGGTGGGCAAACACTTTGTGTAAAGAACCCAAAAAGTAAACATTTTAGGCTTTGCCAGGCCATATGGCCTCTGTTACAACTGTTCAATTCTGGGGGTGGGGGTTATGCAATATGTAAATGAACAGGCATGGCTGTGTTCCATTAAAACTTTATTTACAGAAACAGGCTGTTTGCCAATATTTTAATCTATTAAAAATTACTCAGGTTGGCCGGGCGCGGTGGCTCATGCCTGTAATCCCAGCACTTTGGGAGGCTGAGGCGGGCAGATCACAGAGAGAGAGACCATCTTGGCTAACACAGTGAAACCCCATCTCTACTAAAAATACAAAAAAATTAGCCAGGCATGGTGGCGGGCGCCTGTAGTCAGTCCCAGCTACTACAGAGGCAGGAGAATGGCGAGAACCCGGGAGGCGGAGCTTGCAGTGAGCTGAGATCTCGCCACTGCACTCCAGCCTGGGCGACAGAAGGAGACTCCGTCTCAAAAACAAAAACAAAAAAAAATAGGTTGAACACTAGGATTTGGGCATGTTGCAACTTTCTTCTCTCTGATACTTTGTTTTTTTGAGGCTGTGTATCTAACTGGGAGAATAGTTCAGTCTCTTTGAAGGGATTTTGCAAAGATACATCTTCAATTATGTTTCTCCCCAGGGGTGGGGAAGTTTGGGGTCATATTACTATTGCTGCCTTCAACAGAAATTAAGCTATATTAAATTATCTTCCTTTTTTCAAAGATTTTCTTTTCTTTTTTTTTTTTTGAGAGTCTTGCTCTGTCCCCCAGGCTGGAGTGCAGTGGTGTGATCTCTGCTCACTGCAAGCTCTGCCTCCCAGGTTCATGCCATTCTCCTGCCTCAGCCTCCCAGGTAGCTGGGACTACAGGCGCCCACCACCATGCCCGGCTAATTTTTTTGTATTTTTTTTTTCATTACAGACGGGATTTCAGTGTTAGCCAGGATGGTCTTGATCTCCTGACCTCGTGATCTGCCTGCCTCAGCTTCCCAAAGTGCTGGGATTACAGGCTTGAACCACGGCGCCTGGCTTTTCAATGATTTTCAAGAGCATTTGGATACTTTCCTTACCAAACTGAAACTGACTCTTACAAAACAGTCCTAGTCAAGTTTTCGAACTGTTGTCAAAGACAAGAAGTGTTTTGAGACCTAGACAATATCAGGCATATAGCAGATCACTAGTTGAATGAGGAAAATATGAAGAAAATGAAGATTCTAATATGTCATGTTTAAAAGTCAGAATTTACTGACAATGTCTTATGACACTTTTTTCAAATCTCTTATGAAGCTGAAAATATATATATATATATATATATATATATATTTTTTTTTTTTTTTTTTTGAGATGGATTTTTGCTCTTCTTGCCAGGCGCTGGAGTGCAATGGTGTGATCTCGGCTCACTGCAACCTCTGCCTCCCAGGTTCAAGTGATTCTCCTGCCTCAGCCTCACCTAGTAGCTGGGATTACAGGCGCCCCGCCACCACACCCAGATTACTTTTTGTATTTTTTAGTAGAGATACGGTTTCACTATGTTTGGCCAGGCTGGTCTTGAACTCCTAACTTCAGGTGATTCACCCATCAGCCTCCCAAAGTCATCTGGGATTCCAGTGTGACCACCAGCACCCTGGCTAAAGATTCTTAACTAGTGGAAAAAGTACTAAATAACTTCTATCACTAACTTAAAATAACAAAAATAGCATAAAAATATCTTCCAATCTGTTCCACATCAATTTAAAGAATTTCAGGAAATTATAACGTTCTTTATCCGATTTAACAAAGTGAACTAATATTTCAGTCATTACACTCTTCCAAGGACTTACCATTGGCCTGATAAATCTTTCATATTTAGGTGGTTTTCTTGTAAAGCCATCTCCAACAAAGCACACTTTAGTAACCATCCTCTTCCATGCTTTCTTCTTTCTCTTTCCTGTTCGAACAACTTTTAATACTTCTGTTTCTCCCTGGGCACGTACTTTAGGCAGAGGGACTTCCCATTTTCCCTAAAAATATGCCACAGTTAAAAGTTTACATTGTTATTAAAGGACAATGAGAATAAGTCAAGTATGTTTTAGTTGTACAAAGCAGTAGATCTATTTTTTTTTGCTTAACCATCATTGGCTCAACTGTTATTCTAGAGTTCTGTATTGTCTCCTCATAAGCTGCAAATTAAACAGAACAAGTTTATATATCATGGGTACATTAAATAAATGGTTGACTTAAGCTAAAAATCTTATTGCTGTGTTATGGGTGAGAAAATACCACCTGTAATGTGGTAATTTTTTTTTTTTTTAGTTTATTTTTTTTTTATTTTTTGAGACGGAGTCTCGCTCTGTTGCTCAGGCTGGAGTGCAGTGGTGCGATCTTGGCTCACTGCAACCTCTGCCTCCTGGGTACGAGCAATTCTCCTGTCTTACCCTCCCGAGTAGCTGGGACTACAGATACACACCACCACACCCAGCTAATTTTTGTATTTTTAGTAGAAGTGGGGTTTCACCATATGGTCAGGCTGGTCTTGAACTCCTGACCTCAGGTGATCCACCTGCCTCGGCTTCCCAAAGTGCTGGGATTACAGGCGTGAGCCACTGTGCCCAGTCGATGGTGACTTCTATAAGCACTGTATGTGTTTACTAATGTTTAATAGCATAACATTGGACGAGTGTTTCCACCTCTTGTCTCTGTATTTCTTCCTGAAACGGATTTGTAGATTACATTAATAGTAAGACAAAGTCCTCACCAGATGTTTTATGCCTCCCTTGAGTGCAAATTCTATGAAAAAAACTGAAGTAGTGTAAGGCAGTAGAAAGAATTCTTTAAATATAGATACAGCATATTCTTTTATCTGGATTTCTGCTAATCTATTCATAGGTGTTTTAAAAAGCCACATTTTTTGTGATAACTCAGGGAGTTTTCCACCATTCTGCTTTTGAACCAATTTTGGCACTACAGGACAGCACAAATAAGAAGCATTTGTATTTTTCTTTATGACTGCATAGCACTGTGGGTTTTCAAACAGGAAGACAAATATTGAATTTGAAATTCACTCCTTATCAGCTTTTTAATTTCATATGGCATTCTAATAATTTTTTTAAAACTTAAATTTTAGAACCTTATGATGGGAAAGCAAGTTTTTTTTATTACTAAATTTACAAAGACCTCAACATCTAAATAATGGGAATAGCTGTACTTCATGTTTGAAATTAAACCAAGAAACAAGAACCTCAAATTTGAATTTAAGTAATTCTCCTAAACAAAACAAAGACTTCAATTGTTATTGCTTACCGCCTTCTCTTTTCGTTTCTGTTTAATCATATTGGAAAGTACTTTAGCTCGAGATTGTCCCTCTCTGTCCAGCAGATAGGCAGGTACTGCTCCCTGTGGAGTCTTTTCATCATTCTTTTGTTTGGTGTTTCTCTTTTCATGCATCTTGATACTACCAAGAAGGAAAAAAGATTCAAAATTACCTGTTTTAATAATGATGACTCAAAAGATGTTAACTTGTTATGACAAATAAATGAGACCACTTACGTCTTTTTCATTTGTATTTTTTCAGCATGGCGCTGTTTATGGTAAAGCTTAGCCTTCAGACCAATCATTTTCTTTGCCTTCTTTGAACGTTCGTGAGCCTCTCGACTTTCCTTCTTTCTCTTTTTCTCATGGTAATCCAAACGGTATCCATAGCGTTTACGGTGTAATTCAATATATTCGTTCTGTGGCTATAATGATGCAAGAAATGTTATTTTAGTTTTTAAAAGTACTGACAATTATTCTAAAATGCTTGCTTTTACACAGCATAAAGACCCTGTTTCATCCAAATGTTCACTTACTTGAATGATTATTGCACCAAGTCTATTCACATGATGTAAGTTAAATTTTGATCTTGAATGGTATGAGGCATCAGGGCTTACATTTGTAATAATCTCAGTAGGGAATGTTCCAAAATCTACTGGACCACAAAAGGGATGAACTGATTACAGTATCTTTTTTCCTTGATATAATTTGCTTTTTAAATAACATCTTCATTTCACATTAAAAAAATTTAAGTTAGTTTTATTGAAGCATAATTTACACACAATAAAACCTGTTCTTTTTAGGCATACAGTTCTAAGTTTTTTTTTTTCCCCCTTTTCTTTTTTGAGACAGAGTCTCGCTCTGTCACCCAGGCTGGAGTGCAGTGGTGTGATCTCTGCTCACTGCAAGCCCCGCCTCTCGGGTTCAAGCCATTCTCCAGCCTCAGCCTCCGGAGCAGCTGGGACTACAGGCGCGCCCGCCACCGCGCCAGGCTAATTTTTTGTATTTTTAGTGGAGATGGGGTTTCACAGTGGTCTCGATCTCCTGACCTCGTAATCCGCCCGCCTCAGCCTCCCAAAGTGCTGGGATTACAGGCGTGAGCCACCGCGCAGTTCTACGTTTTTACTAACTACACAGTTCGGTAACCACCACAATCAAAATAGAGAATTTCCATTTCCCCCTAAAATTCCCTATGTCACTTTGAAGTCAATCCTCTTTTCCAACCCTCAATTTGATACCTATCCCTAGTTTTGCCTTTCCCAGAAAGAAACAGGGATCAACAGTAGTACATAGCCTTTTGAATCTGGTTTGGGATTCACCCAATTTGTTGCAGGTATAGGTACTTCAATTCTGTTTATTGTTGAGTAGTATGTTATTGTATGGATATACTACTGTTTACCCACTGACCAGTTGATAGGTATCTATCTGGGTTGTTCCCAGTTTTGGGTGATTACGAATAAATCTGCAATAAACTGCATGCAAGTCTTCATGTGGACATGTGTTTACTGCCAGACCGTTTTCCAAAGTGCATTATTTTTCATTTCACCAGCAATGTATGGGATGCTTTTTGCATTTTAGACACGTTTTATTTTAAACACGAGACCAGGCGTGTCTATTCGTATTTTTAAGGCTGCAAAAATAAAAATGATACAAAGCCAAGTCCAGCACAGAAAACAGTGTTAAGTAACAAATAGCAAGGCGTGCTGCTACCAACTGCTATCATATAAACTTTGCAGCAATCACACGAAGGGTGTATGGAATGCCACTTCGCAAAGAAACGCAAGATGATAGAGACGTAACAGAAAGAGCAAGGATCTGGCAGTTAGATCTGGGCCGTTAAGTCCGGCTTCGCAATTCATTAGCTGTCTGGTCTTCGGCAAGGACCCCTTCATTTTGACGCATTCAGTTTCCTTAACAGTAAAATGAAAGGGGTGGGATTAACATCTAAGATTGTACAAGGCACAACCATATTCCCATTAGGCTCTGGTGCTGATAACCACGCTTGTGGTGAAATCAGTAATTTTTAGGACTCTTAGCGGTGGAGCAAAAAGAAAAAGTAAAATCTTGCTCCAAAGCTTGTGTTCTGGCAAATACCCTCTGTGTCTCGAATGTGAAGTTGTTTTCACTCCTCAGAGCGCACCCCACGGAGTCCACCATCCTTTTCCCTTAGCAGTTTTCATTTCCGCCTACCACCGCTCATCCCCTGCCCCAGTGCCCCAGAGCCCTCAGGTCCCACTAACTCAAACGCCGTATGTCGCGGGCGTCCGACGCATCCTCCTTACCATGGTGACGGCCGCAGGGCCGCCAGGAGCAGCCCCTGGGGTACGAAAACGCTCTCAATTTTCGGGGCTCAAAGACCCACAAGCCCACGCCACGCAGGCCGGGACAGGAAAGGGTCGCCCTTTAAAACGGCCGAGTGAAGAGCAAGAACCACGCAGCGGTTCCGAGTCTCCGTTTTCCGCTTTTAGGCTAAGAGGACGGAAGTTGCTGGCAGACGGCATTTGGCCGGTACACCGCCGGAAGTGTGGAGGTGTGGCTGCTTGAGGCGGCAGAGCGGAAAAATCCTAGCTTCATTTCGTTTAGGTACAAGGCCGTTTGTCTAGGCTGGTGTGGAGACTTGAGGCCTTTGCAGACTTTGGCGCGGCTCTCGCCTCCTGCTTCAACAGCCCAGCGGTGACGAGCTGGCCTGCGGCACGCGGCCTAATACCAGGTGAGTACTGCTCCGAGCTGTGAGACATTGCACGCCTGTGACCCTGTCCCGCGCTGGGTATTGCTGACCTTCCAGGCTGCGACAGACACAGCCAGCCACGGACGAGGACAACAAGGCCTCCGGACTCCCCTCGGTGTTCGCTCAATATGGAAGTTTTTCTCTATCATTCGGCGAGGGGGACTCATCTTTGTTCCGGTCACACTGTAATGTGTGCACGATTGTGAAGGATGTTGAAGAATGAAAACTTAGTGTACAGAAAAATAGAACTACTGGGCCTTTGCAACTGTTAGAAAAGACGAAGATAACATTCTGTTTTTTTGGAAGTACAGGACTGATTCCAGAAATTTCTGAGGCGTTTTGGTGCACCGCATCAAATGCTAAGTGAGTGGACTTGTATTTAGTGGCCCCCTAGAGGCCAAGAAGTAATTCACTACAAGAAAAAGTATGTCTGCTTGAATACACTGCCAATTTTACCCTTTTACTGCACAGTTGCAGAAGTTCCTTTAATTACTTCACAGCTTGTAACGTGATTCAGTTGATGAACAAAAAGAACTGTACCAAAAGAATACTTTCATTAATTCTTAGTGCTTGGATTTGAGGCAGTATTTTGTTTTTGTGGGTTTTTTTGAGACGGCATCTCGCCCAGTCGCCCAGGCTGGAGTGCAGGGGCGCGAGCTCTGCTCACCGCAGCCTCGACCTCCCGGGATCAAGCGATCCTCCGAGTTCAGCCTCAAAAGTAGCGAGTTACAGGCTCGCGCCACCACGCCTGGCTAATTTTTGTATTTTTTGTAGAGACGAAGTTTCACTATGTTGCCCAGGCTGGTCTCGAACTCCTGGGTACAAGCTATCCACCCGCCTCGGCCTCCGAAAGTGTTGAGATTACAGGCGCGAGCCACAGCGCCCGGCTTTGAGGCAGTTTTTGTTTTGTTTTATTTTGAGACGGAGTTCCGCTCTTGTCGCCCAGGCGGGAGTGCAATGGCGCCATGTCATCTCACTGCAACCTCTGCCTCCCGGGTTCAAGCGATTCTCCTGGTTCAGCCTCCCAAGTAGCTGGGATTATAGACGCCCACCACCACACCCGGCTAATTTTTTTGTATTTTTAGTAGAGACGGGGTTTCACCATGTTGGCCGGGCTGGTTTCAAACTCCTGACTTCAGGTGATCCACCTGCCTCGGCCTCCCAAAGTGGTGGAATTACAGGCATGAGCCACCGAGCCCGGCCGTTGAAGCAGTTTTTAAGGCTCCATTTTCTAAGGTGATATCATCATTCTCTTTAAAACCAGAAATAATAACTAGCATGTGTATATTTTAGGTACAGTACGTTATATAATCTCTTTGCCTGTAATGCACCCCTCCCCGCCGCCCCCCCCCCACCCCCCGAATTTCCTCCCTCATCTACTTCAGGTCTTTGCTTAAATGTCACTATTTGAATGAGGCCTTCCTTGATCTCTACTTCAGTTCTAACTGTCCCAATTCTTCTTTCCTGCTTAATTCTTCTCCACAGCACCTATCATCATAGGAGAGACTCTGTATTGTATCTGTTACTTTTGTTTGTTGTCTCTATCCCCTGACTAGGATAGAGGCAGTATGAGGGCAGAGATTGTTGTCTTTTGTTCACTGCAGTAACGCTAATATCTAGAAAGCAGTGGGTAGACAGACATGTAGTAAATTCTTTTTGAATAAATGGGAAGGAATAGGCTTGGGCGGGGGAGGGCTGGGTTATGCAAATTATCTTTTTATTGACAACCACTGAGTTAAAGTAAGAAGAGGAAAATGTCTATTAAATGTCTATTACAGTCGTAACTGTAGAGACTATGAGGCCCTGAACTTTGGCATTACCCATGAAGAGGGAATGGATTCAAGGCCGGGCATGGTGGTTCACGCCTGTAATCCCAGCACTTTGGGAGGCTGAGGCGGGCAGATCACTTGAGGTCAGGAGTTCATGACCAGTCTGGTCAATATGGCGAAACCCCGTCTCTACTAAAAATACAAAATTTAGCCAGGCGTGGTGGCACATGCCTGTAGTTCCAGCTACTCGGGAGGCTGAGACAGGAGAATCGCTTGAACCCAAGAGGCAGAGGTTGCAGGGAGCTGAGATCGAGCCACTGCATTCCAGCCTGGGTGACCCTGTCTCAAAAAAAAAAAAAAAAGGAAACAGATTCAAATATGTTTAGGAAATCAAATGAAAGTATTAGATGACTTTCTAAGTAAGAGTAGTGAATGTTTCTTAGCTAAAATCCAGAAAAGAACAGGCTTAGGAGTAGTAATGAGTTTTGACATATCTTAATAACATGGATCACAATGGTTTAACACAAGTGTGTCTAATCTTTTGGTTTCCCTGGGCCACACCGGAAGAAGAATTGTCTTGGGCCACACATAAAATACACTAATGGTAACTAACAATAGCTGATAAGCTAAAAAAACATCGCAAGAAAAAAAATCTCACAATATTTTAAGAAAGTTTACAAATTTGTGTTGGGCTGCATATAAAGCTATCGTGGGCCGCATGTGGCCTGCAGACCATGGGTTGGACAAGCTTGGTTTAACGTGATCTGTTTGTCTCCCCAGCACCCCCAGTCTCAGCTGCGTCCTTAGATTTCTAATAGCTTTGATATTGTACTTGAAACGTAGTGAATATTTAGCAAATGTTTTTAAATTAAAGATGCTTAGTTTCTATAATCAGAGAGGAAGAGGACTTTTATATATTTTTTACATGATTTAGTTTTTACATGGTATGGTAGGAAAATCAGAATATACAAATGAACCAGTAAATTTTACTGCCAATTAGAAATTACCAAGTGTGGATTCTTAGTTTTTATACTTAATTCTATTCATTTACGTAACAATGCATTTTGGTTGATACAGTGTTTTGTAATTTCAGTAAGTTGATTTCTAATGTATCTCCATGTCTTTCTTTAAACATTACATTAACAAAAAGGGACGTTTTAAGCCTAAGAACCATATTTCTCATATTTAATCAGAATTTTCATTTTCTGAATGATGCATTGTATTTTTGGTAGCTAAAAATATCGTTCCAACTTTTTAAAAGTAATAGATTTTACCTTACATATGTCTAACTTACATATGCCTTGCTGACATGTAATACATAACTTTAGTTTTATAATTTTGTATATTTATTTTTTCAGACAATAACAGTTTGGAGGATCAAAATGTTGAGCAACTTGAGGATATGTGCAGTGAGTCATCAGACAATATCCAGTGTGCATATTAATGTAAGCATTTCTTATAAAATTAAATGTCCTTTAACAACCTCAGCTACTTTACTGCCTAAAATGCCCAGTATATCTCATCAGCTGTTGATTCCAGACTTAGTTGAGTCATAACCTTTGGAAATCTTCAAGCCAAACTAATTTGAAAGTAATTACCTTAATTTATTAAGAAATATGAGAGGAAATTACCTTAATTTAAAAGTAAAAGAACAGCTGTAGCTAAATGCTGGTCTCATGGAGTACTAAAATGCCAATTGTTTTTGAAGGCGGGTACAGTTTTATATTTAAGAATGTCATCACTTAATGTACATCTTTAACAGAAAATGTGCTTTGTAATGTTAAGTATCCATAGATTAAGACTCTTATGAAATAAAGTTTCTCTTAATATCGAAGTATAACATAATTGTACAATGGTTGATAAAACTACTTTTGGCTGTCTTCTGCAGAGCTGTTGGAAGCCAACTTCTTGGGCAGTCTGATCTTTGTCCCAGGAACATTGTTTTAGTCTTTAAGCTCTGGTCTGACTCCTGAATCCTCTCCGAAACACTATAAATTATTTTATGAACTATCGCGTCTTAAGTATACTTCAGAGATATTAAACCTCAAACGTAATAATACCCCTTTTATCTAGTGCTAAGTGAAAGATTACTTTAAAGCTTGCTTGGGTTATTTCTTTTTATCTTCAGTGACTTAACAGGGAGTACAATAGTTTCCCCTTATTCATGGTTTTGCTATTAGCTGTTTCAGTTGCTCAAAGTCAACTGTGGTCTGAAAATTAAATGGAAAATTCCAGAAATAATTCATAAGTTTTAAATTGTGTGCCATTCTGAGTATTGTGATGAAATCTCATGACATCTCACTTAATCCCACCTGGGAGGTGAGTCATCCCTTTGCCCAGCATAGCCACACTGTATACACTCCCCACCCATGAGTCAGTAGCCATCTGGGTTATCAGATTGTGGTATTGCCGTGCTAGTGTTCAAGTAACCTTTATTTTACTTAATCATGGTCCCAGAGCACAAGAGTAGTGATGCTGGCAATTTGGATATGCCAAAGAGAAGCCATAAAGTGTTCCCTTTAAGTGAAAAGGTGAAAATTCTTGGCTTAATAAGGAAAAAAAAAAAGTCATATGCTGAGGTTGCTAAGATCTATGATAGGAATGAATCTTCTATCCGTGAAATTGTGAAGAAAAAGACATTTTTGCTAGTTTTACTGTTGTACTTCAAACTGCAAAAGTTATGGTCACATAACATGATAAGAGGTTAGTTAAGATGGAAAAGCTATTCAATTTGTGGGCAGAAGACATGAACAGAAACATGTTCTGATGGACAGTAATTAGGTTCAGTACTATCGGAGGTTTCAGGCATCCACTGGGGGTCTTGGAATATACCCCCTGTGGATAGGGTATGACTGCTGTAGTGGAGAACCTGTAACCCTAAGAAGCCTTACCATTTGTCTACAGTTTTGTGTTTTTTTTTT